AGAGAGAGAGAGCGAGGGCCTGTGTGTGGGGGCCCAGGCGCAGCCCTGCCTCGGAAGGGAACTGTCTTCTGTTAAATAAAACGCGATCCGACACTCAGCTCTCCTCCACCATTCGATCCGTGGCCTCTGCTGCTCTCAGACCTGATCTTTCAGGGGCTTTTCTTTGTTTCTTTTTAAATATATGTTTTGCATTGAGTTCAGAGAGGAAGGGAGAGGGAGAGAGAGAGAAACGTTGATGTGAGAGAGACACATCGATTGGTTGCCGCCCCCACGCACCCCGACCAAGGGCCGGGGATCCAGCCTGCAATGGAGGTACGTGCCCTTGAATGGAATGCAACCCAGGACCCTTCGGTCTACAGGCCGACGCTCTATCCACGGATCCAAACCGGCCAGAGCGCCATGGGGATTCTTGGTTGGCTGATCCCATTTGTAAGGGAGTGTCAGGATGGTGGTTCTCAAAGTGGGGTCCGTGGACCCCTGGGGGTTCCTGAGACCCCATCAGGGGGAACCACAAAGTCAAAACTCTATCATAGGAATAACACAGAGACATTTTTCCTCTCGTGGCCGTTGAACGGAGTTTTCCGGAGTGTGCATGATGGTGTGATATCCGAAGAGACGGAAATAGAAGCAGATGTGAAAAATCCAGCTGTCTGGTACGCCAGACAGCGGCAAAGATTTCTTTGAAAAGATAAAACGCGGCCGCTCTTCTTACGAAACGAACTATTCTTAGGGAAAAGACGGCTGTGTTCATGAATGTTACGTGCGTTAACAAGCACTGGCTTGACTGTCATTTTAAAATAAATGCGAGGAAATTTCAAATCGGTCTCCACGTTAACTTCTATTGCAGGACATGCTGATGGGTTTGCCCGTATAAATAAAAGCGTTCTGTCCGGCCGGCGTGGCTCAGTGGTTGAGCGTCGACCTAGGAACCTGGAGGTCACGGTTCGATTCCCGGTCAGGGCACACGCCCGGGTTGTGAGCTCGATCCCCAGCGAGGGGTGTGCAGGAGGCAGCCGATGGATGATTCTCTGTCAGCATGGATGTTTCTCTCTCTCTCCCCCTCTCCCTTCCTCTCTGAAATGAATAAAAACATATTTTCAAATAAAAATAAATGGAGAAGTATCGTCAGGTGACGATTTAAACATGCACACACACACACACACACACACCAAACGAGCGCAGAGATCTCAGGAAACCCCCTGGAGGAGGAGAGCAAGGCCCGCCCATCTCTGTGAGGAACACGTCCCGGTAGCCAGGCTCCGTTGACGTTGGGCTTTGTGGCCACAGGCCCGGCTATCTCCTCCTCGGATCTCCCTCCGCGTAAACGCTGGCTGAGTTCTGAGGCTCAGAAGCTTCAGGGGAACCGACGTTGGCTAATGAGACCATGAAGTAACCTTCCTTTAATGTCTGTTTACGGCCCTGCCGCACGTAGCAACGTCTCATCGCCTGACACAGCCCGGGGCGGCGGACAGATACTCCCGGCGCCGTGTCATGTTCCCAGGGGATGACTCATGAAAACTCCGCTCCTGGTGCATGTGTGGGAAAGGGGCCCCGTGAATGCATTTAAAAATATATATATACTAGAATTTTGTGCAAGGGGCTCGGCCCTCGCAGGCCCGGCTTCGTCCGGAAGGTCGTCCGGCTGTCCGGTCTAATTAGCATATTACACTTTATCATTATAGATTTTTTTTTTATTGATCTCAGAGAGGAAGGGAGAAGGAGAGAGAGAGAAACATTTACGATGAGGGAGAATCCTGGATCGGCTGCCTCCTGCACGCCCCACACTGGGGATCGAGCCCCCATCCCGGGCATGGGCCCTTGACCGGGAGTTGAACCGTGACCTCCGGGTTCACAGGTCGATGCTCAACCACTGAGCCCCGCCGGCCGGGCCCCCTGGCTTCTTTAGAAGCGAGTCCCTACACATCAGGAAGTTCATCTGTAAATAGTTTGGCGTCCTGTTCCTCATCCATTGTTGTTGTCTGGCTGCCGGTCACAGCAGTGGTCTCTGAGGTACTGACTCGCGGGCTGGCAACTTGGGCTCCTCCCGCAGGTTCTGCCCGGCTCCCTCTCGCGCGGGCGGAGTTCGCTGGTGACTTCGTTGGGGCTGGACCGACTCGGATGGCCTCGCTCACACGTGCCTGACCGTTGGCCGGGAAGCCTCCGGCCTCCGCCCGGCCGTGCAGCGGGCTAGCTGGGGCTTGCTTCCCGGTGGCAAGAGAGGGCAGGCCCTGAGGGGCAGGGGCCTTGCAAGCCTCCGCTCGTGTCTTGTTTGCTGACGTCCGATTTGCCAAAACAAGTCGTGTACGGCCACGCCCAAGACCCATGTGGGAGGATGAGAGAGACGGATGAGGGCTTCCAAACGGGTGGGGAACTCGCCCGGCCGGCCGGCGTGGCTCAGCGGCTGAGCGTCGCCCTGTGAGCCAGGAGGTCACGGTTAGATTCCCGGTCAGAGCACGTGCCCGGGTTGCGGGCTCGATCCCCAGTAGGGGGGGGCGTGCAGGAGGCAGCCGGTCCACGGATGTTTCTCTCTCTCTCTCTCTCCCTCTCCCTTCCTCTCTGAAATCCATAAAAATATATTTTTTGAAAATAACCGAACACTGATGGAACCAGCACCCCTTAGATCGGTGGTTCTCAACCTTCTGGCCCTTTCAATACAGTTCCTCATGTTGTGGTGACCCCCGACCATGAAATTATTTTCGTTGCTACTTCATCACTGTCATGTTGCTGCTGTGATGAATCGTCATGCAAATACCTGATATGCAGGATGGTCTTAGGCGACCCCTGTGAAAGGGTCGTGCGACCGCCAAAGGGGTCGCGACCCAGAGGTTGAGAACCGCTGCCTTAGATGCTGGGGGGGCCCCCCAGGCCTAAAGCGAGCTCCCCAGTGCGTGGCAGCTCCAGAGCACCTGCAGTACCGCATGCAGACACCAGAGGGCGCCAGACGGCCAGCTCCCGGAAAGGGCACCCAGCAAACCTATGCAGTTAGCAAATCACACAGGAACCCAGACGGGATGCATCCTTACAAAAGATGTTTTTCTAAAAATTATATATATTTTTATTAATTTCAGAGAGGCAAGAAGAGGGAGAGAGAGAGAGAGAAACATCCATGAAGGATCGGCTGCCTCCTACTGGGGATCGAGCCGGCAACCCGGGCATGTGCCCTGACCGGGAATCGAACCCTAACCTCCTGGTTCACAGGTGGATGCTCGAGCACCGAGCCCCGCCGGCCGGCCGGGCCTTACAGCGGATCTGAGAGGCCCTGGGACTCTGTAGCCACAGGCCGATGGGTGAAGGGATCCCTCGCAGGAAGCCAGCCCATGGAGACAGGGAGAGGGGACTTTTTTCCAAGGCACGAAACACGAGAGAAAACAACCAGCGCGTGAAGAAACGGGGAAAGATGGCTCAGCCACAGCGACAAAATAAACCCCCAAAGCCAATTGTAAAAACAACAACAACAAACAGAGACCTATGAACGATCCGACAAAAATTCAGAATAGCCCTGACCGGTTTGGCTCAGTGGATAGAGCGTCGGCCTGCGGACTGAAGGGTCCCAGGTTCGATTCCCGTCAAGGGCATGTACCTGGGTTGCGGACACATTCTTTGTGGGAGGTATGTAGGAGGCAGCTGGTCGATGCTTCTAACACTCTATCCCTCTTCCTTCCTCTCTGTAAAAAATCAATAAAAAATATATATTTAAAAAATTCAGAATAATCATCTTCCACTCCACGCAGAACTCGGGCGGAAAACGAAACGACACCAGGAAAGTGAGGCAGGAACAGGAGGAGAACATGGACAAGGAGCAGGGCCACCTGTCTCTCGCCCCGTGACAGGGGGCAGGCGGGCGGCCAGATGGGCCCTGCCCCCTCGGCTCACCCTCCCGGTGCAGGTGACGATCCCCAGCTTCCATTTAGCTGGCTGGCTGGCTGGCTGGCCTTTAATCCCCTGTGCGGAGGCTCCAGAATTCAGGACGCTTAAGCCTGGGGGTGGGCTAGAGTAATACCGTTGGGGCCTCGGGGACAGACGGGTCCCGGGTTCGATTCCGGTCAAGGGCATGTACCTCGGCTGCAGGCTCCATCCCCGGCCCGGGCCCTGGTTGGGGCTTGTGCAAGAGGCAACCCGTCCATGTGTTTCTCTCACATCCATGTTTCTCTCTCTGCGTCTCTCCTCTCTCTTCTACTCTCTCTAAAAACCAATGGAAAAATATCCTCGGGGGAGGATCAGCAACAACAGAAAATTAGAAAACAATGATACGTGTGTTACAAAAGCTATAAGTGCACACAAGGAAATGTGAATAAATATGCATAAAAGATAATTTTTAAAAAGCAAAAATGCATGTATTTACAGAAGCACGGCCAGAGAATTAAAAATGCATTAGGCCAGGCCAGAGTGGCTCAGTGGTTGAGTGTCCACCTCTGAACTAGGAGGTCAGGGTTCGATTCCCCGTCAAGGGCACATGCCCGGGTTGCGGGCTCCATCCCCAGTGTGGGGCGTGCAGGAGGCAGCCGATCCGTGATCTCTGTCATCGTGGATGTTTCTCTCTCTCTCTCTCTCTCCCTCTCCCTTCCTCTCTGAAATCAATAAAAATATATTTATCTCATCTCATTGTCAAAAATCGACAGGGGGATGTGCACTCTTGCTGGCCGGGAGGAGGGAGCCGTGAGCCGAGGCCGGGCCTTGGTGCTGATTTGGGTTTGTGCTCACGTGGGTACGGGGGGCGGGGGGCGCGGGCTCAGACGCCAGCTGTCGGGGGCTGTCTGCCCTGGAGATGTGCCTCTCTGGATTCCCAAATCCCCCATTTGACCACCCTCTCTGCAGCCACCACTTTGCTTTCAATTTGCTAAATCGGCGCCCATAAACCTCTGGGGGGCGGTGGGGGGGGATTACGGCTGGTGACAGATGTTATAGAAGGACGGGAGTCGGGCAGGCCGTCCAGTGTGACGCCTCCTGGCTGACCAGCTGCAGCCAGCCTGCTCCCAGGCCCCGGGCCTCCTTGTCCGGGGACCAGGGGGCTGCCCTCGTGGGGGGTCTGGCCCTACCCAAGGGGTGCAGGAGAAAGTCACGGGCTCCCCAAGGAAGATGAGCAGCTCTTTCAAGCAGGGCTTGCTCAAGAGCTCCACATCGGGGTCGCAGAAGGTGAGTGAGCCCTGGCCGGTGTGCCTCAGTGGGTAGAGCGTCGGCCTGCGGACTGAAGGGTCCCAGGTT